ACGCGCACAGATTGCCGCCTGCTGAGCGTCACGGCCCGATGTGGCAGCGATGCTGCTGGCGGCTGCTGCCACAGCTCCTGGCACGGGACAGTCCCGGCTCCTCAGCAGATTCCCGAAGCACAGGGCGATGGCTCTGCCTGGTGGGGAACGGCTGCCGTATGAAAACCAAAGCCACCTCCTGGCAGGAGGAAGATCTGAGAGGCCAGGTAGAGCAGAGAGGCAGTAAATACCTGTTATCTCCAGCCACCTTCATGCTGTGGCCATCCTGGGACTGTCCTTCATCTCAGATCCCCTGGCAAGCTTCTTTTGGTCCATCCTGGACTTCCAGGAGCAAAAACGCGTGTACGTAATTACAGCCAGAGATGAGCAGAAGCAGCTATGTCTAGGTCCGTGTTTTCCAGTGTTGATGCCAGGCAGTTTGGATCTTGGAGCAGGACACACGGTGATGAAAAACGCAGTGGCTGTTTCGTAGAGGGTTGGCTGTGCGCGTGGTCAGGGACCTTCCAGTACGGCGGGTGTGGCTCCCAGGCACTGACGGGTGTTGGGCATGGACCCTCTGCTAACAGGCGTGGTGGGAGGTGGGATGGTGGGACGTTGGGATGGTGGGACGTTGGATTGAAGCTGCTAGAAGGACACACTGCACGTCCTTAGATGGGAGGATTTTCCCCTGGGCTGGGCTCTTGGACCACACCAGGCAAAACAAGCGTTAACGCCAAGTTCTTGACAACAAAATCCCCCATTTCCCTCCCTGGGGCTTGCAGACGCCATTCATCAGTTCGGCTGGGCAGCCTCCCGCCCTCCAGCTTCTTATCCCGGTGCCCCGGGGACGCAGCAAGGCAGGGCAGACACAAACCATGGCTGGCTCACTGCTTCTCCGGCTGCTGGTGGAGCAGGGACGAGCACTTGTTCCTGCTTGATCCTGGCCAAGCGATAGCTGCAAACCCGCGGCTGAGCTCCGCGCACGCAGGATGGATGCGGACGCCGCTTTCCAGTCTCGGGCACAAGGGAGCGTGGCACTTCCAGAAAACGACTCATCCCAGCAGCCTCGGGACGGGCTGGGTCGCATCCTGGGAACACCTTGGATCTCTGTAGGGGTTATAGAGATTGGCTTTGACTGGCCTCTACCCTCCAGACAGCTCGTGTAAGAGCGGATAAGGCCCTTCCCCCTCCTAGCATGCAGCCTCCAGCATCGCTGGGTGGTCCTAGCGCTGCACCTGAAACTTTTCTACGGGCAGCAGAAAAAAATCGCAGCCATTGCATTATTTCTTCTGTTGCTTTATGTCTTCTGCTGCTTTATGCTCCCGGTCAGATGCCTTTGCACGAGCTGACCTACGGCTCCTGGTTTCCAGCAGCAGGATCACATTTTGAAGGAGCACCGGAGGACACCCTTAAATAATCTCCAGCATGAGAGCAGGCTTCCCCCCATCAAAGGGCTTTTTCTCGGTAGCTGTGTTGCAGAGGAAGGGCTGCGGGGAACAGTGCTGCAAGCAGCAAAACCCCCTTGCATTTTGGCTGTGTTCTTGGTTGCACGGCAAAGATGAGACACCCGGGGACTGTTGTGTGCAAAGACTTAATTGAACTTTCCAGGCCAGTTAGAGAGAAGAAAACATCAAAGGGTGAAAATTTTGCTGTGAATTCCTCACGGAGCTCCTTTAATTTATGGTATCTTAATTGACCAAGCCACTGCCTGGGGTGTGAAGAGCAAGGTGAGCTGCTGGTGGTGCTTGGTCACCCAGTGCTTCTCGGACACTTACCCCTCTCCGTAGGACGTGCTGTGAAGGGGTCGCGATGGAAGATCCAGCCAGTGGGGTCTGTGAGGGACTCGGCTCTGGGAGATGCTCTGCCGGGTCCTCCCTCCTGCAGCCCGGCCACCATCCGCATGGCCGGTGGGAGAAATAAACCTCAGCCTAGACCTCCTGGCAGGAGGATGAAGGGAAGAGCCTGCAAAGGGGCTGTCCCAAGCACCTTAACCCTGCACCACGGACCTAACCACGGACCAGAGACTCTACCAAGTTTCCCTGGTCAAGCTATATTTGTGCTTTGGAAAGCACAACCTGGAACCTTGAAAGCAAACCCTGGAAGAGGTTGGGTTTGACCAAAGCAAGCAAGCGTTACCTGTACCTGTTGGCGAGGCTGCAACGAAGCCCCTGCGGTGCCCACGGCCCACTTAGGAGTGGGTTTGGGCAAAGGCAACGCTGCCTGCGGGCAGGGACCTCCTTGCAATGCCTCTGACTGGCATGCGTGGGGGTGATCGCACGGATCTAGAGCATCTTGTAGGCCAGGTGGAGGTGAGGAAAGGATGCCGTGCCAGGACACTGGGACTGGGACACTGCGTTAACATCGCTGCCAAGATCAGACAGCCCCTGGGGCTGAGAAGTTCCCACCTGGACATGGCCAGCTCCTGGAGATGACTTTGGGGCTGGTGGAGAGGCCGTAGCACAGTGCTGTCTGCTAACGTAGGTGAAGCTGGGAGCACTCTCAGATGTGGAGGGATTTCCCTCTCCACCTCTGCTCTAAAAACAATTGGACTCAGTGAGTGGATACACTTCTTAAAAATCAAACACTAAGCCCTCAGTGCGGTTTGGCAGCAGCCGAGGGGAAGGGAGCAGGTAGGTGCTCCTTCTCCGAGCAATGATTCACCATCGCTGCTGAAAGTGGAGCATCTACAGAGATCTGCAACAGGATGTGGTGTTGGCCACGCTCGGCGAGCCCTGACAGAGGCTCTGGACGGCAGCGAGGTGGGTTCGAAACTGAAACGGGCCCTTTGTCGCTCTGCCTGCTGCCCCACGACTTCCTTCACAACATGGCGAAGGAAAACGCGAGCGGTTCGCAGCCCTGCCGTCCCTCCGGTGACAGTGATGGCACTCAGGCGCTCACCGGGTGGGCTGCGGGTGGCATCATCTGGGCAATTAATGCAATCACTGCCTGCCCGAGAAAGGCTCCGGCATAAGTGGTGGTGGTAAAGGCACCAAGTTTGTGGCACACGAGGTCTGGGCAAAGATGCTGCAGTGTGATGGTCCCGGCTCTGCCCCTGCCAGGCCCACAGCACCAGAGACTCTGATCTTAGCCAAAAGCTGATGAACGGACCCTTGGTTCAACCACAGTCAGCACCACGTTAGCTCAAGGTGGGCTCCCTCCCATGCTGCTCCTGATGCTTCTCCTCTTCTTCCACCAGGAACATGGATAAAGGCTGAGGAGCCTCGACTGATGCTGTGAGCTGGCCAGGGGAATGCGGAGCGGTCCATGGGACAGCCGTGCTGCTGCCAACACAGCGCTCCTCACCCAGGCATCGCCCATGTCACGGGAGGCCTCTGATGGAAGGTGAGTGGTGGCAGGGCAGCCCGAGATCCATCACCTCGGTGGAGTTTTGGATTCAAAAATGGGACGAGGTGGGGCACCAAGGTGTGAGGATTGACAGTGGTTCCTGGTCCAAGGGCTTGGGGGCCGCTGTGCTGGCACAGGGGGAATGGCTGTCTCCAAAGATAAATGATCTTGCTCTGATTTTTATCTCTGCATGGGCTTGGTTTCCAGGAGGAAATGTCATTTCATGATTGTGTTCTTCACTTTCTTTGACTCCAATTTTGATAGCCGCTGCCTTGACCAAGCAGCTCCTAACAAAACAGCCTGCCCTGACGTTGGGATGGCATCATCTCAAGGAGGAATCTGGCAGGTTGCTCAGAGGGCTCTGGTTGACCCCCTGCTACCTTCAGAGTCAGATGGGCTCCTCCACTGCTGCCTTTCCCCGTCACCCCTGAGCAACGTGCCCAGGGCTTGCACAAGACCCAACTCTCCTGCTCTCCTCTCCTGCAGAGGCTTGGATCAATCGCTACCGCAAGCAGCTGGTGCGGTCCATCTCGCCGCAGTTCCTGGAGGAGATCATCTGCTACCTGCGGAAGCTGGACCTCCTCACGGCGGAGGAGGCCAGCCGGGCACAGGAGGCGAGCTCCCTGTCCGAGCAGGTGAGGGCAGTGGTGGACGTCCTGGCTGGCAAGGGCAGCTACGCCTCCCAGTCCCTGCAGACCTTCATCGAGACCACCAATTCCCAGCTCTACCTTCACATCACTGACTATGGTAGGCAGCCCACTTCGGACCCGATGAGGGGTGTCTGCACACATGTCCTGACTGTGGGCGCTTGCTGGAGCACCCCAAGATGGGCACAGAGCTGGGCAGCGTTGGCAGCTCCGATGGGAGTGCCCGTGCAAGGGACGGTGCCATCTCAGGGTCTCCGCTGGGGAAGGACACAGCCAGGGGGTGACAAGGGTTCTCTGCCAGGTCTGAGGGACCTTCTTCCAGGCCCTCAGCACACCTCTCTGGGCAGCCTGAGGGGTCTCTAATGTACTCAACATCCAGATCACACCAGTCACTCCCAGCAGCTGGGCTGGGAAGAGGGGGACGGCAGGAGGATGGCTGGGCATCCCTGACCCCATCTGTTCGTGGCTGCCCCAACTTCAGGCTCTCCTTGCAATCCTCTTGCCAGGAGAGGTTTTCCCTCCTGGTTGGAAGGCTCCAGCCTTGGCTGGTGAAGCTCTCGCAGCCCCATCCCCTGCTTGTCCAGCCTTTGCTGGAGGGTTTAATACGCTGTACGAGGGGCCGTGGTACCTGAGCCAGGTGAGCAGGACGGGTCCAGAGATGGTCACCAGGTTCAGCCAAGAGTCCAACTCATCAGACAAGTCCATGGCGATGAGGCAGGGCTGAGGTCAAGCCGGGAAGTCAATTTGGAGGTCAGGATCAGGTCCAGCGAGGGCAACCAGGTTCAGACACAGTCCAGTGGTCACCAGGCAAATGCAGAGTGATGAGGTCCAAGATCAAGGTCCAGATCAACAAGGTCCATAGCAGGCACGATGGCGCTGTAGACAAGTGCTCCTACAACATAGCTTAGGCGGGGGCTGAAGGCCCAGCGCTGAGCTTAAATGGGCTGCTGGGCCGATGGGTGAGGCTGGTCAGGGCCATTTAAGCCCATTAATGCCCTCCGGGCCCTGGCACATACCTTCCTGCCCGGACGTAAGGCCTCCGTGCGGTTTCCCCTCTGCGTGGGCATGGGAGAAAAGTGAAGCAGCATCTTTCATTTGCATTTGTGGTTACCACCTCCTCCTTACCCCCCCATTTCATTTCTCTCGGTGCAGAACCCATGGTGCAGAAGCACCTGGAGAGCCTTCAAAGCTACTATGGGAATGGCTTGGAGACGGGTCCCCTCCAGCGACTCACAAACCTGCTGCTGGTGGAAGGCTTGACCGATATCCAGCAGAAGGAGCATGACATCCTGCAGATTGAGGCCACCAAAGGCCTACGAAATGTATCCAAGAGCATCCCTCTAGAGAAGCTCTTCCTGCCTCTCTCCAAGGTCAGCATCCCACCTCGGATCTCTGTCACCATCGGAGTGGCCGGGATTGGCAAAAGCACACTGGTGAAGCTGTTTGTCTACACCTGGGCAAAGGGAGAGATCAACAGGGACATCATCTTCGTGCTGCCCGTCACCTTCCGGGAGCTCAACACCTACGAGAAGCTCTCTGCCGAGAGGCTCATCTGCTCGGCGTTCCCTCACATCACCGAGCCGAACTGCATCTCGGCGGGGGGGGGCC